ATATTTGTCCCATGAGGCATCCCTCCTTCAAAGAATGGTAGCACTTTTAAGTTTCTGTGCAGCAGATTTTACTAGACAGCTAAGCAGACTGAAAAAATTGTTAAGGGCTATTTAGTTACAATAAGGAACAGAGTTGGACTTGTTAATTGGGGATGGGGACTGCACACTCAAAATCTTACAATTTATCAAAGTTTTCTTTTTCAATTAAAAATTTTTTTTATTTAAAATATTCATACATGTATATATATTTTCTTGTCATTTAATATATATTTAGTATTAATAGTATTTATATATTCAGGTTACTAACCTTGGAAATTTTGTAAGGAGAAAGATAGTTTACTACAGTCAAACATGTATTAAGTGGTACTCTTTTAAGGGGTGAACCTGTTTTAAGCGGTCAGTTTCAAAGTCCCAAAAAATTTTCCCCTCAATTACTGTAATTTTCACCTCTATGAAGTGGCCACCTCTATTGAATGGTTGTGGTCACCTTTGACTGAGTCCCTTCATCTGTGTTGAATGGTCACTTACAGTGGAACCACTCAAATAAAACTAGGAATAAATTGTGATTCATGTCTATCTTCCAAAATAAATGTAAATTGTATTTTTGAATTTTCTACATTATGTGGTCAATTATGGCACGAGATGGCGTTTATTACCTTTTTAATAATACCTCTTTTCTGTGGAACCTTAAGTAAGCAGTCAATCTCTATTTAGCACTTAACACAGATTGGACTGTAAATTATTGGACAGTATAAACAACTGCCTTTACCATGTCTAAGCTTATGAAAATATAGAGAGACTAGCAGAAAAGTTTTCTTCAGCAGAGGCTAAAAAACCAAGTAATCACCTTTGGCTGGTCTCTTTTTTTTTTCTACAGAGAGCTGTGCATCAAAAGCAGTCAGCTATGGAGCTGTTCCACTGCTGTTACAAATGTTTTGTGATTGGCAAAGAACAGATCATCATCACAGACAGACAAACATCAGAAAAGCTATTCTGAATGTGATCAAGAATATCACCATGTCAAGTACGTTAACCCTTTACTCCCCAACCTGTGAATACATATTCTCCATACTATTCTCATTACATTTCATTAGTTATTAACAAGGAGAATTTGTTTAGCAATCAGGAATGTCTTGAGAGGGGTGTTCATTTCCCATATTCTCATAACCTTAATGGTTTATCAAGTTGTGATAATGTATGGAGAAATTAGATGCTAGATAGTCCCATGGGTTAAAGGTTCATAGAGGAGACTACTGATTACATTGTTTGAATCTTTAAAATGTCAGAAGGTACACTGTGGTTGATAGATGTTGCTTCTTGAAAGACAAATTGTTAACCCCTGAAATGGCCAAAACATTGTGTAAATCAAAAAGAAATTTTGAGATATATTGATTGTGAATGTTGCTTTGGATATCTTGCCCTCTCAATTTTTTTGTAGTCTGTAGAGAACTGGCTGTCCTCTGGTATTGATACCCCATTTTAAAAGTAATTTGAGTTAGTTGTTGTTTCAAAGTTTGAAGGAAGAAATGGCCTAAATTATCCTGAATTAACTGTATCAAAAAATTGATAGTCAACTTGCTGCTTTAAATTGCAAACCAATAGAAATATCAAGGAGAGATGTTATTTGTTTGGTCATGCATGCTACAGTCAAACCTGTATTACCGGTAAGCAGTTACCCATGAGGAATGGAAAGATTAGGGACTTTGACTACCGACCACTTAACACAGGGTGATTGCTTAATAAGGTGCAGATTTTATTTGTTTGGTTGTGCATGCTACAGTATTTGAGTGTTACAAAGAGAACTCATTAGTGTGCTAGCATCCTGTGCACTGCCAGGATCAATAATGTTGAAAGCAGTATGTGCATAACTAGATGAGATTTATCAGTATAGTTAAATTTCTGGATTTTAGGAAGTGGTAAGAAGGCATTTATCCAAGCTGAGGGTATTAAAACCCTGTACACTTTGTCATTGGAGACTTTGGAGTGTAAGTAAATTTTTTCCACACAAAATGTTTTAGACTATGTTACACGCTTTTTATTACATTTCACAGGGGATTCTTTTTTGTTCCATTTCAGGCCGCGAACTTGAAGGGGTAAACAATCTCAGCAGCCAGATTCTACGAAGATGTTTTCCAACTAACAAGCTTCCATTGTCAACCTTATCGTCACCACTGACATTTGCTCTGTTAGATTTAGACAGCGCTGGCCACTCAGCTGTAGAAGATCTACTGGATGATAGTGGGGAAGGTGATTGCAATATGCGGGTTGAAACACTCTCTACTGTATAGTTAAGTCTAAGGCAGAGATACCAACTTTGAAAATCTTTAGAGGTTTGACTTCGAATCACACCCAACCTTCATTATTTGCTGTAAGGTTGTTTAATTTTTTTAATAATAGACATTATTTTAGTAAAACGAAATTAGGTACTTTAATGTGGTAACCACCAGAAAACTTTGTCACTCCAACTTGAATTTTTGAGATTTCCTAAATTTTATAGATTTAAATTTTATTACACTAGAAATTCAGTGTCTTATGAGGAGTTGTACTTAATCCTATCAAGACACATATGAAGTAATCTTATGATCAAGGTATTTACTCTGTATGTAGGTGAGTCTACTGATGTGGAATCAGAGGAAGAAGAAGATGACAGTGGTAGTGCAAGTCAAGATGATAAAGAAGGGCTTGAAAATGGCAACAAGGGTAAAAAGCCTGAGATTAATTCCTCAAATCAGAGCAAACAAGTCAAGACAAGAGATGATCTGGCTATGTATGAAAAGTACTTCCCAGAACTGTTTGAATTTCAGGTAAATAGTTGTGGTTTGAAAAGGCAACATTCATCTTTCTGCAAAGTTCACCAGTAAGCAGTCATCTTGTGTGCCAGAACAGGTTCTCTTAGCTTGTGCCAAAACATGTGGAGTGTGGGGACTGCAAGATTATCACCACCAAATAGACCTGTTATCATATATTTGGAGTATATAGTGTGGGGTATTTGCCAGCTGAGAGATCTGTTCCGTGAAAAAGTGCGACCAAGGACACAACATTTTTAAATCCTGGGTCACACATTTTTTCACTTTACATACTGACTCGGATTTGGTAAATAACTAGGTATCTATATTGTTTCTCTGGGGGAAAAAAACAGAGCAAGGCAAATTACTGGGTATTTGCCAAAGGCCAATTGAATAGGTTAAAATGTAAGTGAGTATATTGTTGACTGATCTCCTTCATATGTGTACATGTACAAAACAAACAAAAGCCCACTGATAGCAAGTTAATAAGGTTAATATCGGGTTTAGGGAGGGGTAGGTGCGCAGGTTTCTCAGACACTGACATTAATCTTATTTTTTTATCTATTCTCAACACCCGCTTGCCTGCTTGAAAAGGTGATGCAAGCATTGCCTCATTTTTTGATAACTTTGGAAAGTTTAAGGTTAGTGTGTAATCATCAAAAATGTTTGTTGTTGTCATTCGTCAGGTTGAAGTTGCCGAGCCAATGGAAGATGACATGGTAACATCATCATATCCAATAGTAATTCCAACAGGTTCTGAAGAGCCATTGTCCTGCTCGCCAACCGGACCAAGCCATCTGTCAAACCAGCTTGATTCTATGAATTTTGAAAGGTGGGGACACTGCAGAGTTAATTAAAAATGAGGTCGAAAGTAGGGAGCCTCAAAAGATCATATTAGTTAAAGTGGCATGAAGGATAAACAAATCGTAATGTTGTAGAGGTGTAGGAAGGGAAATTTTGATTTAAAAAATAACGTTGAACATCAAGAAAGAAGTTTTTTTTACGAGCTTAGGAAAAGGAAAAAACTCTGATTACCCATGAGGAATCGACTCTCAGATTTACGTACTCCGCGCTCCGATGCTCTACCTCTGAGCCACAGAAACTCTCTATCACATTTGTTAGATGTAATTTATAAGAAATTTGTTTTTTGTCCGGGTCATATTTAGGGCGTGCACTCAGGTTAAAACATTTAACACAAGTGTTTTTATTTTACCTAAATTCGTCGCAAATAGTTGACGTTTGGTATATTGCTTAAGACATAATGAGATGTATACATTGACCAAAGCACACTGAGTGTCAATAAGTAAGGATTACCCCTCTCCTGTAAAAACCAGTGAACAGTGTTCAGATACTTTCAACCTTATTACTGAACACGGTAACAACGGAGAAGGCCGCCTCAAAAGCCCATTTAACCGCATGTGTTCACGGAAGTAAGAAACGAAAAAAAATTTAATCTCGGCTAAGTTTTAGATATGACTTTTGTTTATGTTGCTACAGTCCACCAACTTTGACACAAGCCACAGCTACACAAGAAGAGCTTACTCAGGAAGAGAGATCTTCATCCGCGAATTTCACCGCTAAGATTGATAACAATGGTACCTTTGAAAGTGTGCTGCCAATCGTCAAGACACCATCACCTGATGTGTACGGCCATTATCCACCATCCGAACCTGAACCACTGGGACAGAAAAAAACTGGACTACAGAGGTACAGGGCTTATCCAAATTGTTCAACGTGATGTCAAATTCTTAAAGGATGCAAATGGTTTGAGACACTAGTCTTTAAAAATGTTTGTGGGTGGACGAATCAAATGGCGAGACAGAGAGCACTTCATAGTCTAGGATTGGAATGATTAAAAAGACGGGCAGCTTACGGACTAAAAACTGTTTGTTTCGCACTCGATTTAAAGGTCGGGGTAGACTGTGCCTAAGATAAAAAAACAGTCGCGACCCAGTCCACTCCTGTGCCTTTACTTCTTATCCACGTTAGTCGGACCGTAACAGACTCTCAGAAGTCTATTCGAGCAAGATTGAAAAATACCAGTTTAGTAGGATATGACATATCATTGAGACTACGACGATCCAAAAGGGAACCGGGATTGTTTATATGGTGATGTTAACAAAGAGATTCCACGTTCCCCTGCGTGTGTTTAGTGAATATATCACAGATGACATCAAACTGTTGTAAGAACAAGAAAGTGGCTCACGGCGCGCAGTTGAGTGTGTTTCTGGTGAACTTACTACATTTTTACTTCATCTGTGATATATTAATATCTATATGATAAATATAGCCTTCATTCGGCGCGAAAATATACACTGATATTTGTCCGCTGACATTACCTGTTCTAAGATGCGAACAATTTTCCGTGAGCGAAGCTCGAGGAAAACTGAAAGCTTCGAGGAACAGATTATGTTTATGGACAAATATACGAGCATATTTTCGCGCAACTTGGAGGCTATTGTGGTTATTATCCTTCAAATATTTTGCAACGTGTGTGAAAAATGTTTACGAACAGCTTACTGCGTGGGATGTTTTCCTTTGAGTGTTTTCTGGTACGATTATATGAACAAATGAATATTTCCTTCTTCTGTAACAAGCATAAAACGCTCTCTCGTCTTGAATTAAATTTTAAACGGAGAATTATCGTAGTAGAGGTAAGGTTTGAAAATTATACTTGGATATTTCCCAGTTTTAGATGGGGAATATTTGATCAAGTGATGCGTTTAGACCATTCACGCACGAGCAAAAATATTTGATGGATCATATACTGGATTGTACATTCATTTTGATTGGTTCTTATGATCAAACATACATACGTATACACATGTAGATTAGATGACGGCACCATCAACAACATTTTGCTTTCTCTATCTTGTAACACAGTCAAACGGATTCCGTGTTGCTGTGCGGTTGTTCACTATTAGATAACAGATGACGTGGTCATCATGGAAGTGGTAAAAAGAGGCGCAGTAGAGTGTGTCAATAACGTTCTTACCACACTTAAACGTCTTCTTTGATCTTACAGACGCACGGCAACATAGAACCCACTACTCATTCTTTTTTTCTTTTTTTTTTTTTAATTTTTGCAAACGAGGCATTGTTACCTTTTTATCCCGGCCTTGCCAAGATGACATTGATCCATCTGTGCTAGCGTTGCTTGTTGTTTTTCAGAACTATGATCTTTAGGGACATTGCACGACAGATTCATCCACAGAGAGTGATAAACAAAGTTGTGTTTGATCTGGATCAGCTTTTAAGACAACCCGGTGACCCTGGAGGAGCACCTGACAACGGGTTATTAGCTGTGGCTAAAGAGCAACTCAAATTAGGACATGCACGGAAACATAGCAACTCCAGGTTTATACACAGAATAAACGCTTGTCTCATTTGTCAGTTTAATTTTTTCAATGTGTGAATCAATCTTCTTCAAACTTAAACTTTCAAGATACAAGTTGTAATTCGCCCAGTTCTGACCACCATGGGTCTCCTCTCAAATCAGTTTAGAAAGTTAGAAAGATCTGATTTTTCCTACAGTATCACTCTGAATCAAACATTAAGGTCATGAGAATAAAGGAAATGATCGCAAACTCAAGAAGGTCTTGATTGTTAGACAAATCCTCCCCGAAAGTACTATGACAAATAAATAGGGAACAGTATGGAGAACTTGCATACTGATGTTAGGATGTAGAAAATCAACCAGTGGATGTGTTTTCATTTTGCAGCATCTCTGAAGGAGAAAGATCCACTCCTGAGGAGACGGCCAGACCGCTGAAGTTTGAATCACGGTTTGAGAGTGGCAATCTACGCAAGGCCATTCAGGTAGTTATTGTGATTTTAGATGCTTCAGTCGTGAAATTGGAAATTTTGTCGATGTGTGACGTTTTGGCTTTCCAATTGTGAACAATCCATGACTCGACTCGACAATACCCAAGACACTGTAACGCTCCAGGGCTTTGAGACAAGGGCTTATTATCGAGGAATTCTCATTAGAGCGTGTTGGGGGGGGGTCTACCTGGCTTCAATGTAAACTAATGGTTTAGTTTTTGGTTTTAGGGAAGGAGAGGAGGGGGGCTTATTAGAAAGAGAGAGAGAGAGAGAGAGATTCATTTGTTCGTTTAACCATGTGAATGTTAAGAAGTAATGAACTAGC